AATCATCTTATATGTTAAGTAAAATTTCGTACTGTATTTGTTTTATCAGCAGTTTTACATCGAATTTTTCATAAGACCCCTTTTTAATTCATCTTTACCGAAACAGAAACATTGGATAATATAAATTATTTGTAAGAGTTTGTTTTTTTTTTTTGATGCTCAGGATATACTTCAAAAATGGAGTGATTTAAGCCAGTGGTTACCTGAACTCAACAGCTCAGTGGATAACTCATTAGAAGTTTGAAAAAGAAAGAAATTGATTTCGGGTCTTAGCATGAACGACAAAACTGAGGTTGAGGTATATCTAGCTGACAAGTTCTAAATAGCACAAAACATTCATCGTGAATTAAACTGCGAGCTACTATTAAAACTTGGCTTAATATTAATAATATAGTTTACTATGTAGCATAACATACCATTCTTGGTAAATCGTCTTTCTATTCCTAATCAAACAAAATGATTTCTCACATGAATTTTCTTCTGATTTATATACACTCGGAATTAAAAAATAAAAAAAATTATAACATGTATCTTCATTATAGAATAATATTGTCCGACCGGCCATTTTTTTAAAAAAAAAAATTTTCCACCCCCAAATTACAATATTTTTCATCCCGTGTTTCGTCCAATGAAATGGCTAGTTTCAAAAATTAGATTTAATTGGTTAGTTATATCTTGAAAATTGTTATAAATTATCAGTACTTGTCGACGAAGCACCATCTCAATCGTCATTATGGAGCAGAGTAACGTGCCGCGTACAAGCGCTGGTGTTTCTCACGTAACGGAAATGGAGGAAGTCTTTTTGACTACCTTGTTTCTGGTTGCGTTTCCATCGGTTGAAGCGTTAAAGACCACTATCACAAATTTTGAAAGATCGACTTACAGTCATTATGTAGTGAGAGATTCGCATATTGGCAGAGATCAAAAATCCTACATTAAATTTGTGTGTTGGCGAAATGGGCGTATAAGATCTAGCGGTTCGTCACAACGTATTAGACGGAGGAGGTAATTTGGTAAATTGTTTTATAATTTTTTTAATGAAGGGCTTCTATGAACACCCAATGTACAGCATTTATGATTTGTAAGATTATAGACGGCTATTGGACTGTTGTACGTGGGAATGTACATCACAATCACGAGTGCGATTCCCTGAGGTACCAGGGTAATTCATGGATGCGCAGGTTAACGGATGGGGAGTTTGAAACTGAGACCGCTGCTGATTTCCGGTACCGCTGCATTCCACATAAAGAATTTTGCTTACCAATCTTATGGGAAATGGCTGACCGCTCAAGATGTCTGCAATATGCGGTACAAAGTGTTCTCACACGCGAACCTTCCTGGTACGGAATTTGCCAATTTATAATGTACACTATAGGTGATTACGGGAAATTGAAAGCTCACATAACATCCTCGGGTGGGCTTTGCGAATACGAATTGGACGATGAGAACTGTCTATCGTATTTCTTCTTCATGACTGCTGAGCAAGTGAATTTAGCCGGTCACTTTTGTGACGTAATTGGTTTTGACGGGACGTACAAAACGAATAACGAGAACGTCCATTTATATCAAGTCGTTGCCATGGATATGAATTTTAAGGCAATAACCATGTGCATTGCCTTTTTAAGTCGCGAAACGTCGGCCTTGATTTCTCGATTCCTCTTCTTTTTCCAACGGTTTACCAACAGTCGACAACTGATAGGCATTGTGACCGATGATTCACCTGCAATTGCTGCTGCTATTACGCAGGTGTATCCGGATGCACACCATATTCTGTGTCGCGTACACCTTGTTCGGAATGTGATAAAGAGAGTAAGTGTTTCGTTCATTAACATTAACCCAGTAACCGTTATTGTAGAGGGTGCGATCAGAAATTGTACAACTGTTCTTTCGCCTCATGTTCACTCGAACGGCTGAAAGGTAAATCGAAATCTACATAACATGATTTTGTAGTTTTAACAACGTACTTTCGTTAATCGAAATGTCGGACGGAACATTTGGCAGATACGTCAGAGACCACCTTCTACCACGGAAACACAAATGGTCCACTGCTTTTCGACCGCCTTCTACAAACTAATAGTGATGACGTTCGACCGCGAGAACGAGTAAAGGCCCTTTTCAGGGCCACCCACAATTTGATTTCCATTATTTTTTATCTACTACTTTTCCGCCGCAAAGGTCAAGTGATTAAGCACTTATTAATGTCTCATGAATTTAGATATCCCTTAGAGATTAATAGTGGAAAAGCCATTATCGCTCATGTATTCGTAAACTTGTTTCTAACGTTTATTAGATATAAAGGTTAAGAAAACTTAGACAAGATTTTGTCATCTAATGAAGACTAATCTAGTAATTTTAGATTTAAAATAATGTGATTACCGTTCATGTTTTAGTAACACATTTGTAAACTATCTAATAAAAGTACATTTTGAGTACATTTTAATAGGAATATTTTAAATGAGTGAAAATCGTAATTTTGTCGTTAGGTCAATAAACTTATGATGACATTTATTAGTGAATGTAATAAGATAATTACAAAGATGAATGTGATTAAAGCTCATAGAGAAGTAAATAAAATTGAGAAAATTAACTTATTTAGGAATAAAATAATGATATTAGAAAACAAGTTGAAACCATCATCATTGAAATGATTCATGTGATAAAAGGTCATACAATAAGTGTAAAAAGAAATAAGAATATTATCCGTTTCATGAATACAAAAAACAAGAACTTCCTATTCTTGTTTTATATTAAAAGTTCCTGAAACCAGAACTATGCGTACGTAAGAAGTACGTCTGATCGTAAACTAAGCCTCCATTGTTATTCATAACTACTGATTATATCACCGTATTCATTTGCACACCTCTTCAACTATTTATGACTGGTACAATAACATTGTAGCAGTTAAATATTCCCTTAAAATATTCAAAAATAAAAAATAATTTAGGAAACAATCGTTTTCATTAACTTCATCATCACACTATACAGTTATTAGTCCATAATTTTAATATTTTATAAAGTCCAAAAATAAAGCATGACATTTATGAATTTGACAATGTAATATGTTAACAATGGTTAACGTTTACATCTGTAACGATATATATGATTACAAAATAAAAAGGTCATTCACTAAAGGTCGGGATGATTTGCAGTAAAGTGTTCAGTCACAATAAGTGACTCAGCATTATAGGAAAATTGAAAATGCAAAAAATTTTGTGTCAATGAAATACATAGTATTGCAATTGAATCTTGTCAATTGACATAATAATAGTAATAACGATCATAAGGAAAATAAATAAGAATAACATTTTAAATGATCATTGAAACAGTTGACCTTATTCATATTTATACGTTTAAAGTCGATAGATATTTGTTGAGTCAGTCCGACGACGTAGGCTTGTTCATTTACACTTCATGAAACTGATATTTCAAATGCTTGTCAAAAATGGTTACATTCATAATGTCTAGATAATTCAGGTTTCATATTACGGTGGTTAACAATATTCACACTTGACTGATTAAACAAACCAGTTTTTATTACGACCAAAAAATTAATTTTAAAATACAGAACTACAAATAATTTACAAGTGAACACAATAAACCCTTTCACTGGACTTTTAAAATTAACCACATTTAAATCTAACGTTGTCTAATTCTCATTATGAATGAACATTTACAAAATAATCCTTTACTAAATATTAAGTGTCTTTTTCGGAAAATTTATTACTACTTTCATATACTGTCAAAGTCAGTTCATTAAATGATGGTCTATGATTGCTTCACCTGAATTATACATATTGCAACCAGTAATTTATCATGATGATTTATTGATATGTTGATTTCTTTTTACCATTAACACACCGTGTGTTACAAAAAAACCTATGCGCGCACTTTGGTGATAATTTGTTTATTAATTTGGTATTAAATATTTGACTACCGACCTCATTCAGTAATCACTATTATCAAATATTCAAACCGGTTTACAGATGCTTTTTCCCAAAAACTTTCTTTTACTGAGATACATATAATTATTCGTGTTCCGATAACTAACGACTTCAATTCACGGTATACTTGATCGGAAAACAAAAATTGATCCCAATACACATTCACTAACAGTAGGATTGCACGGTAATGCAATTAAGTTGGTGTCTTTTTCTTCAAAAGTCTAAATTTTTTTCAAGACTAAGATTACACAAAAAAATTTATTCATTATCATTAAATTTCAAATGTAAAAAATTAAAATTCTGACATCCAATCACAGCTCCAGATGTGATTTCGATTTCAACTAATCAGATTACAAAGATGAACAGTTTACGACCAATCATAAAATTATTAAAGGTAACAAAATGTTTGTTCATTATCACTTGAGCACACACTTGCAAAACAAGTCCACCAATCAACGATACCTAAATTTTTCATTCACACCCCACAATTTTTTTAAAAAGGGGGGTAGGGAATCATATAGGCCGGTTACTTAATGTCAACCTTCATTATATGAATATTCCACTTGAAGGTCATCAAATCATATAGATCATTTCCATTGGTAGACACTATGACGTTGTAATATGACTACATATGATTGGAGCTTTTAGATCTTAACACATTTCATTTGTCTTTACATTTATTAGTTATTTTTATTATTGTTATGTTCATCTTATAAAATGAATATTGTTTTACTCATTACATGTGCCGATTTCCCTATATATATATAAACTCAAAAATACAATAGAATAGAAAGAAAATACTATAGGTTTATTTATTTACTTATTTTTTACAGCCACCCATATCAAATAAATATCCAATAGACATTTAACTTTCCCGCTTTTCAAAAAGAAAATAAACTAACTTGTTGGTAACAACTAATACTATTTCTTTGTTAAAAATGGTAGGAAATTTTTTTTGAATTATTAAATATTACTGGTTGATAAGAAGAAAACAAAACAAACAACGTACCCCTAGTATAATACTAATAGTAATAAAATAATAATAATAATAATAGTAATATGGGTTCAGAACAAAGTCGTCCAACTAGTACTAAACAAAAAAAATCAAGTTTAACCTGGAATTCACAAACTATCGTAAAAACAAGTAAAACTTCAATAAACAATATAAAACCAAGAGAAAATTCTATAGATCTATTGAATAATCAAAATATAAATGATGATAATATAAATTTACAAAATATACCAGAAGATAAATCATTTCGACAATTATTTTCTGATTTAGAATTGGATGTTTTATTTTCTACATGGCCATTATTATCACAAAATCCAATACGTACTGGTTGTTTAATATTTAAAAATGCATTTGAAATTCATCCAAAATTATCAACATTTTTTCCGTTTGGGTAAGTTTCATTTGAATTTAATAATGAGTATAAATAATATACAAATAATGATATGATTTTATAAGCTAAAATTCAGTGTAAATTCTATGTGAACATTTAATTTTAAGATGTAGGTACATCCAGCTGATGAATCTGAAATGGGACGAAACGCATGTTATGGATTCCACTGTTAGCTACTATTCATCTTTACTTATAATTTTAACTGGTTTACGATTTACTGATTTATTACAGCAAAAGGAAATAGATGCACAGTATAATTATTTCCGAAATTTGTATATATCCATGATCTTATTGTAAGGTGATTAAGATGTTTTAATATTTTGAAATTAGAGTATTTAAACAAAACGTTAGTTTAATGATTGATACTTTAAATGATAGTTCATTCTTATGAATTAAAATGATTGATTTCATATTGATTATAATTACGTAATCGTTTAAAGTGATTGTTCAGATCTTTTTATTAAAAAAATGTTTCAAAAGATCAACTATTTAGTCTTCTTTGGTATTTTAATATAAATAAAGCTAATCACCATATAATTAATGAATGAGAGTTGTTTGAAAGAAAATAAACATTATATCATTTGTATGAAATATTTTAAAATGGAAACAATATGTAGCGGTAAATAAATCCTCAAAATCAATAGCTGTGTAAGTCTTCAATATTTGATGCTGACCAAATTAGTTTTGATGGAGAATTTCGTCAAAAGGCAGGCTTCCACTCGAGAACAACTATATTTTCTCCATGAGTGTCTTCGCCAGCATGTTCTACCAACAAGTGTAAGATATAGACCTCCAATCAACTGCCCATTAGGATGGAGAATAGCTGAGCAAAGTGGAAGAAAAATGGTACACCTAATGATAACAGATGCACACTACAGGATCCGCAAATACCAGCACGTCATAGAGGACCAAAAGATAAAGCTACAAAGGATGCTCACATCAGAACATTTGGAAATCGTGACAACAGCCATCGAGATATTATGCAAACGACATAGAGAACAAAGAAGAAACACATTAAAGAAAAAACTAATCAAGATCTCAAAACCACCCATGGAAGAAAACACAAACAACTGCGTGATCAATCTGTCAAAACAACCACTAACAAATACAGAAGAACACCTGCTCCAAAAGGAATTAAACTACAATACAAGCGACGCCTCAAAGCTGGGGCTCTTCGCAGCACTAGAGTTATCACTCAAAACTTCCGGAATCAGTGAAGAAACACAACAGGAAATAAGGCAAACTATAGTACCGATAACTCAACAGGTGAAAGAAAGCAACCAACTGACTCCATAAGAACAAAAGGCCTTGAAAGAACTCAGAAATAGAAAGGATATCGTCATAATACCAGCGGACAAAGGACGCACCACAGTAATCATGGACAAAGAAGAATACGTCAACAAAGCCGAAGAACTACTCGAAGATAAGAGCACATACAAACTGATGGACACAAATCCCGTCAAAAAATTAGACAACCAAATCTCAAAGACTTTAAACAAGCTAGTCGAAGCAGGAGAAATAACAAAACAAGACCAATGGAGAATGAAATCCAGTGGACCAGTACTCCTTCGATTCTACGGCAGACCCAAAATACACAAACCGAACATTCCACTACGTCCAATAGTAGCACTCCCCGGAACGCCAACGTACAATTTGTCAAAAGAAATTTCACGAATACTGAGACATCTAGTAGATTCAGTCAAACACTCCATCAAATCCCCAACACGATTCCTGCACCAAATTAAGGATATTCAAATCAACAACGACGAACTCATGATATCCTTCGACGTAACAGCACTGTTCACCTCAATCGACACGACCAAACCATCCAGCTCAGAGAACAAAACTCCACCAAAATCATCTACCTGAGTTTTAATGGACTCACCTCACTGGAGGCATTCGATCACGTAACCACACCAGATCACGAGTAAAATTATTTTCAATTCCTAATGTTTAAATTGTATTAACAATGTGGAAAAATTAACTTCTGTTATTGTTTAATGGACTTATTCATGACTATACAACTTCAACAATGTGGTAAAATAATAATCGGTATGAATATTTAATACAATATGCAAAGAAATAAGACCATTGCTTAAATATTGTACGATCCAGTTATAATAAATTACTATCAGGAGAAATTTATCCCAATTTGTCAGATTCACATGGTGATAAGAAAAACTAAAAATAATCTGTTAATGTCTTGGATTTTTTGAGGTATTCTAAGATGAAGTTGATTATATAAGTCATTTTAACCAGTAAATTAAAAAAAAGAGTTCAAAGAGAAAAAATGACATTTTCAGGAGTTTACAATTAATACTGCCTAACAGTTTTGATCATTTTAATTCACCTTTCACCTATAAATGAGATTAGTTATGAGTAGAAAGAAAAACAAATTTTTATACTTCTAAACAATCAAAAATCAATCTTGACGTTTTCATACTTACACTTAAGAGTAAATAAAAGGTTAATTCCTAAACAGTGTTGAACTGGATAACTATTCAGTCCTATACTAGAACTTAACAACTATTCATTGTTTCTTCTTGTCGAGTGATTGTTTTAATAAAGTCAGTAAAAGTATAAATGAAATTTCAGTCGATAAGACAGTGAAATACTTTTGAATTATTCTGATATGATTGCAAAAGTACTTTCTCACATATCAGTAGATCCTCCCACTTTAGTGAACTTCATGTTTTCTAAAATTCACAAAGTATATTTCTTGGAGTATTATACTAAAATAACGTGTATAAGAATTTATTGAACTATTCTCTTGAACATACCAAACATTTTTTAGTTGACGGCTTAAATACATGACTTTCATTCTCTTAAATATTAACTTTTATTGCAAGAAATGACAGTCGGAACACCATATACGTGCCCATTTATATAATTACATAAATTTCCAGTTTGAGGTTAGGTATACTATTGAATTTCAGTGAAATCATGAACCCATTAATTTTAGACCACTAAACCACTAGACGGTCGTTTTTTCTTAGTGTGGAACACCTCAGTAGTACGCATCCACGACCCCACACGCTGGATTTGAACCTAGCACCTTTTGTCTAACATTGATCGGTACATGATTCCCGTAAAAGTCAAAAACATCAGCAATCCTAAAGTGAAAATTATCATGTTCTCACCAGTGAATAGCTTTGAAAAGGAATTCTCAGAGTTCTAGTGAGAAATCGTGACTAGTAGAGTTCAACATTGCCGAATATGAGGCAGTTACCCACAAAAGACAATGAAAGATGGTCGCGCAACATTATGGATTGGCTGAAGTCAGACATTAACACTATCGGATCCTGGCTCAGTGATCTAGATATTAAGTGTTCTCACGAGACCGAAGGTCCTGGGTTCGAATCTTGCATACGTGATCATGGATGCGCACAGTTGAGGTGTTCTATAATAAAACTGAACGATCGTCTAATGCTTCCAGATTTTCGATTGTGGTCTAAAATTGATTAGTTCATGATTTCAAGGGATACATTTTACTTAAATATTTTTACTATAAATCCTTAGAAAGAGAGTTAAATTATTAGCATGTCATCGAAAGATACATTTTTCACAAAACTATTTACTTTATTGTAAACAGATACTTCACTTAATATACCATTTGTTCCTGCTTGCATAATCTGTCTATATTTAAGTATTTCATTGTTATACATTTCGTTTAAACATTTTGTCCGTTAATCTTTCACTCAATTAAATCACAGAACATGATATGAGGATTAATTAGATCATAATCAATATGATTCAATGTTTAAAACACAAAACATATACAATTCTTTTTAACTAGATTTTCTGATTTTCAAGATAATATTAATGCCTTTAAAACATTGTACAATTTCATTAGAGCAACAAAACCTAATCTAAATGATATGTGACTTTATCAAGTATAAGAGTGAACGAGAATACAAGTGCGGAACAACTAAACGTATATGAATACAAAATTACAGAATGTCTTAGTAAAATTTGAGAATCATACAATAAATACTTCATTTGTGAAATGTCAATCAATCGTCTCAGACTTGATTGTTCTTTCGTCTCCACACTAATCATTCTTTATTCTCGTTCTCTTCTCTTTAACCTTCTACCTTTAGGCATATCATTTTCTATTGATGATACATACTACTTAAATCTGTTGACATCAGTAGCACACACCACAGTATCATTATTTGATTAATTATTTTCTCTACAATATAACTGAATTTATGAAGATTGTAGAATTTGCATAAACATGTTCAATATCTATAAGTTGAGTTATTAGCACTTTTTATTTAATTTTCTTCATGAATAGAACTTTCACCATCAGATAAATTAATATTGAATACATTGAATTTACATGGTGATTATTAGAAGAAGTAATTTTCATCATTAAAACACTTGTAATTCAGAGAATCCTTTTCGTTTGTTTGTTTTTCTTTTTTTTTAAAACAGTCCAATTGCTTATAAATCTGTGGATACGGGATTATGAAAGAAGTAATAAATATAATTTTCTTACATTTCCTGTTACACAATATAAAATGATCAAATTTACATTAGTCTATAATAATGATAAATATATTTCCATTTTGTCTAGACTACAATTGAATAGACTAAATACAAAGGGTTGATAATAAGGAGATAGTTATCCGGATTATATGAACAACTGAAAATTATGTTCAAAAAAAGAAAGAAAAATACAAAACAGATGAATAATGTTATGTATAGGCACTTTTGATATTATATCTTTATAGCAGTTATTTGAATGTATACTAGAGTAAACATTATAATAATTTTATATTACACTGGTTGAAATCATGAATCAATTGAAGCTAGATCACCATGGAAAACCTGGAAGCACTGGACGACCGTTTCGTCCTAGTATGGGAATCCTCAGTAGCGCGCATCCACCACCCCGCACCCCGCGAGATTCGAACCCAGGACCTTTAAGTCTCGTACCAGGTGCTTAACCAACTAGACCACTGAGCCGGCCAGTGAAATTTCCAAAATCTCCATAA